TGTAATCCTTCCAGACTTTCATGATGTTCTATCATGAAAGTTCTCTTCCATTCGGTTCTCTTCCATAATGTTGACAGTTCTTTCCATGGAGCACCATGTGTAATAGCCTTAAAGGTCCTTATGACATCTCATCTAGAGATAGTGAGTTTGAGAGCAAGAAGACCACTTTGATGCCTGTAGTGTTGAACTCATGGGGTTCTGGGTGGCCAGAGGCATTGTCCAATAGCAAAAGAACTTTAAAAGGCAGTCCCTTTCTGGCAAGGTGCTTCCTGACTTTTGGTACAAAGTATCTATGAAACCAACCCAGAAAAAGGGTTCTTGTTGTTCAGGCCTTCTTGTTGTACAACTAAAAGACTGGCAGCTGGTGTTTATCTTTTCCCTTCAAGGCTTCAGGGTTAGCAACTTTATAGATGATGGCAGTCCTGATCATAAGCCTGACTGCATTTGCACCAAACAGTAGAGTTAGCCTTTCTCTTCCTGCCTTAAATCCTGGTGCTCACTTCTCTTTCTTACTAATAAATATCCATTGTGGCATTTTTTCCCCCCAGAATAGGGCACTTTTTTTCTGCCTTAAAAACCTGTTCAGGCAGATGTCCTTTCTCCTCAATGATTTTCTTAATGGTGTCTAGGAACTCATCTGCTGCCTCTCGGTCAGCAGAAGCTGCTTCTCCGTTATCTTGACATTTTAAAACCAAATGTCTTTCTAAAATTATCAAACCATCTTTTGCTGGCATTAAATTCTCCAGCTTTAGATTCTTCACCTTCCTTTTGCTTTATGTTTTCATATAACAACTTCACTTTGTCTCAAATAATAATAGAGTCTATGGGTATACCTTTCTTATAGCAATTCTGCACCCACAAAAAAAATTGCATTTTCAATATGAGATAAAAAGGTATTTCCCAAAAAGTGTAAGGTTTTTGTGCCTACTTGCATAGCTGCAGTGACAGCTTCACCAATTTTCTTTTCATTTTATACATTAGTCTATACTGAATTTATTTATCTTGACATGTTGGGCAACTGCAGCTGCTCATCTCAATCTATGGTACATATCAAGCAATTCAACTTTGTCTTGTAATGGTGTGACTGTTCCCTGCTTCTTGGGAGCACTTCTAGCATCACTAGTGGCACTTCGTATGGGTCTTGTGGTGTTATTCAAGGTTTACAATACTGCACTAAACATGATGAAAACTACATGACAACCATGAGAGGTCACTTTTTACTGAGACAAATTTTACTGGAGAGACAAACTGCTCACACAGAGATTATTAGCATCACACAGCATTTTAAGCAGATATTCACAATGCTTGGGCTCACCACAATAAGCAACAGGAGGTGGCCACAAATTATCGCAGTAGTACAATATTATTGCAGTTAATTTTATGCACTTAATGATTTAATAGTGCATATTTATGTTTGTTTACATTTCTCTCAACTGTGAATGGCATCATGCACAATCTGTGTTTTGATACATTTTAACTTTTTATAATAGATTTGTGTATATCTTATGGTAGTAAATGATAAAATAAACTAGTATCTGTATATATTTTACACATTAATACATATTTAACTTTTTGTTAATTTATTCTATATTTCTAGGCTACGCAGTTTGTCTGCAAGTTTTTTCAAATTGTTGCAAATCTCCAAAAAATTTTCCAATATATTAATTTTAAAAATCCACATATAAGTAGACCTGTGCAGATCAAACTCATGTTGTTCAAGGTCAACTGTAGTTTCTTCTGAGGGCTGACCTTATTAAGAAAAACAGAGTGCTCTTGTGTGTTTCAGAAGCAGGATGGGATTTTTCTCTGATATTCACTGTGAGGCAGAGCTGGTAGTGCTCCTGGAGGTAAAACTCACACAAGTGTGCTTCCTCCCCGCTCCATAGCTGAGCCCCCTGGAGTTTTTAACTCTCAGGCTGGACCACATAGAGCCTCCAACAACTCATACATTATAGTTCTGGTTTTCCTATCCAGATAGTGGTTCCCAAGAAGGTTTCTGCTCATGAGTTTCTGCTCTGGAAAGTTATTATTATCTGTATCTGCCTGCCTCTCCAGTTCTGGGGGCAGCTGTTTGTCCTGTGACGTCACTTATCTGGAAGATCTAAGAAAAATTGTTGATTCTTCAGTTTGTTCAGCTTTTTACTTATTGTTAGCATGGAGTCCTTACTTCCAAGCTCCTTACATGCAGGACTGGAAACCGAAAAGTCCCTCCACCAGGTTTTCTTTCATCAAATCCTTACGTCTAGTTAACTGGAAGAAAATTTTGTAATATTTTAAGCCAAGGGATAGAAATGGAGAAGAAATTTCTGCCAGCAGGATGTAGCAATGAACTCACCAGGCTCTAAGTAGTAGGGAGCGATGGAAAAACAGGAAGAAGGGAAGGGTGGAGGAGGTGAAGGGCAGGCGAGTTATGAGTGGCAGTTTGCAGACTGTAGCCCTAGGAGTGTGTTTGAGAATAAAGGTACTTAGATTGAATTTAGAGAATAAAAGAAAACTGAGATCTCATTGGAGTCTTTGTAAGGGGTCTATATTACTTTTTCTTGCTGAGATGGATGGTTGGAAAAAATCTACATTGGGATCCGCACAAAAGAAATGCTGATGTTTTTGTGTGTGTGTATGGTGGAGCTGAAGTGTTAAGACAGAAGCATCTGACAGGCAGTGGGACCTGAAATAGAGTGATGTTTGTAACCCTAGTGTCTAAGACAGCTCCTGCCACTAAATGGCTGATCAATAAATATTTGTTGAATGAGTGTGTGGGTAATAGAGTTTATTTAACATGTTCTGAAAAGTACCTTTAATAAACAGTTAAAAAAATAATTTGACAAAAATAAATAGTGGCCTCCATCTTTTATCTATGTAAGATTCTTTAATGAAAATGCAAAAAGTAAGCAACCAAAGGTAACTGGGTAGAAAGCAGAACCTTAACTGCTGTACCATATAGGAATGCATTGTACCAACAGTCTTATTCACCATTCTTCGAAATCAATACTGAATTTGGTTTAGTTCCTCAATCTTATTCCACTCCCTTCCTTTCACTCTCCTCCTCCTGCCCATATTCCTCCTCTTTCCTCTTCTCCTTTCTCTTCTCTTCCTTCCCTCTTTCCATCTCCCTACTTCTGCCCCTTTTCTTCATCTCTCCCCTCCCCTTCTTTATATGTTCTTTCCTCTTCTTACTTCTTGCTGCTTGGCACTTTGAAGGAACTACTAGCAGTTTCTCATGAAGCTTGAGTGAGGTAGTGAGTGAGGCAGTGAGAATGGATAGAGAAATACAGCTGGTGAGTAGCTGTAGGCTAGATTTTGAAGGTTCTTGTGTTGATATATATTTTCCTTAAGTTATGGAAGTGTTTTAAAGCAGAGAAATAGCCTGCTCTGATTTGTGCTTTATATAAGATCATTCAAGCAGCTGGTAGGGAAGATGGATGGTTTAGAGGAGGAGGGAAGACAGACCATCGGCAGCAGGGAGACAGCAAATTTTTATAAAAGAGAGGTTTAAAGGGAGCAATTTGGCAGCTGAAGCCTGAAGGTAGTAGGTTAAATGCTGCCTTTATAAAGCAAGCATGTATTAATTACATGGAATGTTTTTGTGGGTGAGATGACTGATGATTATCCTATGCACTCCTAACCCCTATGGAGCTGCCTCTACAGAAAAGTCACTTAGGAGGCTGTTAACTAAAAAAAAAAAATTAATGAGGTTTATACTTTGGAAAAAAGAGAGCTTTATTCCTCATAAAGGCTCATACTTGTTGGGCAGCCACTTAAACATGCTGTGAAGCAGAGCCTTGGCTAGAAGCCAGGCACACGTGCTTCAAAGGACAGACAAAAGAAACAAGATTTTATACTGAGTGGGGGTAGTCAAATATACACATTCAATATAGGGGGAGTCATGAATATTTATGAAAAAGGGAAATCATGTGCATTTGGAATTGTGATTTATCTCTCCCATCCCTTTATGGCTGGGAGCTCAGTTTTAAGGTGTTTCTGGGGTCCCCTTGGCCGAGAGGGGTCCATTCAGTTACCAGAGGGCTAAGGATTTTATTTTAGTTCACAAAGCTATTGTAATTATCCAGGCCAGAGTTTATGACAGCAGAAACAAAAACAGCAGCAGTAAGACGAAGAGAGGACAGATTGTAGAAAACAGACCAATCATGACCTGGTCTCATTGACTTGTATGAAGGGGCAGTGAAGGTAAAATGACTTTCTGGTTTGGGACTCAGGGTCTTTTACCAAACAGGGAAAGCTAGAATAGGAGCTCAATTGCGCGTAGGTGATGGGACAGAGACAGGAGATTAGCGAGTGATAGGGCTAAGGATCACTAATGGGAATAGAATAATTTTTTCTTGAGGCAAGACAGTTGTGGGGAGGACAAGGGCCTCAAGTGGGAAGTGTGGGAACAGACAGTACCGTTTCCGTGCAATTTCCCTTCCTTTCTTTTCTTATGAAAGTAATATATGTACATGGTTATATATAAGTAATAAATATATTA